CTAATTATCTTTCAGTCATTGGTTTCTGATTTATTTCTTTTGTGGTGAAAGAAATAATCTTTAAGATTTCAGTTTTAAAATTAATTGACTTTTTTTTTTATGGCTCCAGCATGTGGGCTTTGTTTTTTGTAATGTTCCCTGTATACTTGAAGAGTATTCTCTAAATGTCAGATCAAGGTGGTTGATAGTATTGTGTAGCTCTTTCTTGATACGTGGAATTTGGGGTGGAGGATTAATCTTAACTGTTCAAGGAGTTACTGAGATTACTCTGCTGATTTGTTCATTCATTCCTTATATCTGTCAGTTTTTGCTTCATGCATTTTGAAACTGTACTTTTGAATATGTTCATGTCTCCTGTGAATTGACTCTTATGAAATGTCTCTTTGTGTCTAGTAATATTTGTGGTCTTAAGTCTTACTATTTTGATACTATATTTTATTAAACTTACTGCTTGCATAAACTATGTGTTTCCATTCTTTTGTTTTCAGCTTGCCTATTTAAAGTACATCTTTTTTGTAGACATTTTGCATCTTGTATTCACTCTGAGAAGTCTGTCTCTTACTGGAGTATGTGGTATATTTGTATAAAATGTTATTAATATGGTTGGATTTACTCTTGTTTTACTCTTCGCTCTTTACACTTTGTTTTCTATTATCTGTTTTTCTTTTGTCCTTTCCTTCCTTTGGATTGTTTTTTAGTATTTCATTTAAATTTTCTTTATGCCTTCAACTGTATCTCTGCCCTTTCTGGGGCTGGGGGGCTCCCTTCCCAGTGACAGTCAGAATCCTTAGCTTCACAACAGTGCAGTTGTTTCTGGTATCTTCTGTTGCTTCGGCTGCTATTGTCTTGACTTCACATACTTTCCGAGTTACAGTTTTTGTTTGAATTGGTCATCTCCCTTTTGTAGAAATCAAGAGAAGAAAAGAATATCGTTATTTGTATTTACCTACCTACTCAACATTTCCTAGTTCTCGTAATTTTTCCCTGTGATTTAGAGTTTCTATCTTGCATTCCTCTATCCTGAAGAACTGTCCTTTTGTACAAAATCTGATAGAAGTGAATTCTTCCAGTTTTTATCTGAACATGTTTTTTGTTTTAACTTTCTTTATGAAGGATGTGTTTGTCGGTTATAGATTTTAGGTTGAGTTTTTTTTTCCCCTTTCAGCTCTTTAAAGATGTTGTTTCATAGTCTTTGGCTTCCATTGTTTCTAACCAGAAACTTATACATGTGTTTATGCCTTTGTTCTTCTCTGGCGGCTGTCAAAATTAAACAAAGTTGGCCACTGGTTAAAGGCAGTAAAAGCAGATTTTATTCAGTAATAACTACTGTAGGGGAAAGAGCTGAGTTCAGTTTTGATTTGCACAGAGGTGACTGGGAGGACGAGGGAGTGGGGCAGGGGTGCACAAGAGTTGAGTGCTCAAGCAGTTACTGGGAAGTGAAAACTTACCCAAAAAGTGGGTAAGAGGGATGGTCAGTGACAATGTGATTAGGCTGTTTGTGTCTGTTGAATGGCATTTATTGAAGTTAGGCTTCCATCCTCCCTCCCTCAAGAGGATAGATTGGGAGACAGAGGCCCTATCCTTCCTAATGATTGATTACATTTCAAAGGAATGGGTTAGTCTTTGATGAGGACACTCCTGAGTAAGTAAGTAAGATACATATACATCTCCAAGAGACAGGAAGGATGTAAGCTTTTAAAATAAATGCTCTAAGAAAAGAAGGTGGGGCCTTTAGACAGGTGTTGGCTGGAACAAATGGTAAATTCCTTTGGCAGCCTTGAGCTTTTCAAGACAATAACTCAAAGGGGGATGTGGCGGTCGGCCCAGGGATGCAGCCTTAGGCTACTGCTAGACTGTTCAGGCCTCTCAGTGCAGGGGTTTGGATGCAGTCCTTTGTGCCAAGAGTTTTTGTAGTTCTCACCACTTTAAAGATTTTCTTTTCATCTTTTGTTTTTTAGCAGTTTGACAAGGATGTGCCCAACTGTGATTTTCTTTGTATTTAAACTGCTTGGTATTCACTGAGTGTCTTGGAAGTGTAAGTCTAGTTTTTTACTGAAATTGAAAATGTTTCAGCCATTATTTCAGATACTTCTTTCTGGTTTGTTCTTACTCCCCCCTTTCTGGGACCGCAACACATTATTGAGACTGTTCCTTTTGTTCTACAGTCTTTTATTTCTGTTCTTCTGATTGAATAATTGCTCTTGATTGATCTTCAAATTTACTGACTTATGTTTTCTCCAATCATCAGGTTAATTTTTTATTTCTGATTTTATAATTTTCAGTTCTAGAACTTCATTAATTGTTACATTAAATCCCTGTCGGTTAATCTTGGGGGTCTGTCTCTATTGGCTAATTCGTCTTATTTCTAGTAGATAATATTTTCCTGTTTTTTCACGTTTAGTAATTTGTGGTTTTATGCTGGATATTTGGGATGAAACATTGTAGAGACTAAATTCTGTTACATTCCTCTGAATAGTGATGATTTTTATTTGGGCTGATAGTTTTGAGTGGCCTCAGAGTCCAAACCGTTTGCCTGTCGCTGTAAGCGACAGCTGAAATCTCAGCTTAGTTTTTCTTGGACTTCCATGTGCCGATTTTCAGCAGGCCCCCCAGTCTGTCCCACATGTCTAGTTTAGGGGTCAGTCAAGAATTTGGGCAGAGTTCATATTCAGTATTTTGATGTTTTTTTCCTCCTGCAGTTCCATTCATCACAGAATTTCCCCCTTCTTTTTCTAAACTCTCTGGCAGCCCCCAGTCCATCCTTTGATTCTGCAGATCTGTAGAACTACAGTTTGCTGCTTAAGGTCTAGTTGCCCTGCCTGCCTTAGACCGCAGGGTGTCTGTCCTCAGGTACAAACCCACGTAAATGTATCTCTCATCCACTGCAGTTTCCCTCTGACAAAGGTTGATTTCCCTGCCATCTTTATCTGTTTTTGGTTTCTTTCCACACCGTTTTCAAATAGTTGATTTTATTATATTTGCTTATAGTTTATTTTATTATATTTTGTGTAGAGGCTATTATTTTTTGTCAGAAGAAAGGTTTGCCTAATTGAGGCTACTCTAGACAGTACCTCTGCTGTTTTGTTTTTTGTGTCTTTTTGCTAATTCCATGCTGTTTCCATATTGAGGATTTATAATGTGTTTCCAAATCTAGTCGGGCCGGCCTCTTCTCTTCTTTGCACGATGGTCATTCTTACTTATATTGGTATGTTACATTTGGAATAATGCCATCTGTGTCTTGAATTTTTTTCTTTCAGTTTTTGAGATTACATCAAGTATATAAATTTGATAGAATTGATACCACTAAGATGTCATCTTCCAGTCTAGGAAGATGTATTTGTTTCTTTTTGCTCAGTTTACTAATTACATTTTCTCTAGATGCTTTGTGTGTTTTGTTATAAATTGATTGTTTTTATATATATGAATTGATTCTTTCAAAAAATACTTTTTCTTAAGCAAAACTTTTACTAGCTGGGGGTGAGTTTAATATTTTTAAATAAACCTTCCAACTGCTTGAGAGAGAGATTATAAGACATGATAGAAACAAGGCCTAAATATAGTGAATGCTGGCAATTGAAAAGTGGCTTAGGGAAGGTTGGGATCAAGGTCTGTGCCTCTAGCTTGATTGCATGTTTTGTTTTTAACAACTGGTGTTTATTATTTTGAGGCTTAAGTAAAGCACAACTTCAGCTCTCCATGCTTTCTTTTAGATTCTAGTTGTCATGTCAGTCCTTGAGTTACTTGAGTGAAATGTTCCTTCTAGTCTCATAAGAGCAGAAGAGCCTCTCAGTCCACTCTTTGGTTAATCATTTTCCTCAAATTATTTTCAAAGAAAGAAGACTTAAGTTGTATACTATTCCTTCAGAGGTTTAAGTTCAGATTTATTATTCTAATTTAATTGATTTTATTGTGATTTAAACTGTGGTGCTATATTTTCCAGTAAATATTTGATAAATATCTTTAAAAAAAGAACCATTTACATCATGGCTTTTTAATCAGTACATCTTTGGGGGGAAGCTATCTGAAAATGTACTTTAAAACAAACTGTCCAGTGTTAAGAGTCCCTGTAGCCCCATGACATAGCATGAAATGTTTCTGCAGCTTAGCAGCCCACGGGGTATGTGTTGCCCAGCCACAGGAAGACAGCACTTTCCACCATCCCCTCTGAAAAGTTGGTTCAGTTAGCTTGTTAGCAAGATACACATCTGGAATTTAGTCGTTTGATTTTATTTTCCAAAGTTGTTTGGAAATGTTTGTTCCAGCCCTTTGAAATTTTGATGATTTTTGTAAGGAAATGTGAAAGAAAAATGTTGAGGTCTTTCTGGTCTGTGTCTTTCAGGTGGATTGATTTTAAAACAACTAGATACAGCAAATTTTTCATATTTATACAATATTTTAAGAATTTGGTGCTTCATTTATCTTTAGTCCTTATATTAAAACTTTTAAGGTCTGCTATATTAGAATGACTTCAAAATATATTTTGTCCTTTGTATTAGTAAGAGAGCAGTAATAATTAAGTAAATTCAGCAAAACGTAGTATGTATCTCAAACAAATAACCTGAAAATCTTAACTGTGTATATGTGTTATATACACATATTAACAAACACAGTTGGCATGTGATTTTAGATAAATGTTTTACAAACTAGATTATAACATGAAACACTGTTAGTAAGGCTGATGGTATAGCTAATAGGTCTTTTGTTATGAGTGGAAGAAATTGGAAAGGGCATTACAGGTATGATTTCATTAAGCTAGAGAAACATCGGAGTTCACATTTTAAAAACATAATCATAACTTATCTGGAGTCACGTTCCATTTTATTGGCTTCCTTCATATAGAAAATATAGAAACCACTTAAATGCCTGTGAAAAAGTGAAACAATATATATTTTCTGGGTGAAGGAAGTATTCTGTACATTTTCCATGTTTTGCATCATGGTATTTTGAATAACCATGCTTCCATGTTCACATCAATTTTTTGTTTTTCAATTTATGCACAGCACTTGCTCTGAAATTTGGGGACTGAGTACACCAAATACGATAGATCAGTGGGATACAACAGGCCTTTACAGCTTCTCTGAACAAACCAGGTGAATATTCTGCCCTCTGTCAAATCCTAGAGCTCTTGTGGGAGGGGGGCTATCTTGGAAGACCTGTAGTGGGTTGCTTAGTATAATTTTGCCTAGTATGTTCCTTAATGTAAAATAAGGCATGGCATTTAAAATACCTGCTTGCCAGTATTAGAAATATATTAAATGTTTCAACTGATGTTTTGATCAATGAATTCTAGTTTTGAATCTTCTTTAAATTATTACATTCCCTAAAGAATAGGAACTTTGATAATTATATTCTCATTTTAATTTTAGATTATAATCTGTTGGCCTAATTTTTAAGTAGATACATAACCAGTTTTTACTAAATTTCTTGCTATCATCTAAATCTCATCTTCTTTATACTAATAAATACATATTTACCAAACCCCTTATATCACAATTAACACTAGGCTAACCTGTTTTTGTTATTTTTTTCTAACCACCTTACTCTCTTTTTTGAGCATATTGGTATTTGTCCATTTCATCCCATCATATTCATCACCATCTGCATTTATGTGTGAGCTATAGAAATACACCTCAGTGCTCAGAACAGTCATAGCTACACTCTTTGGTTAATCATTTTCCTCAAATTATTTTCAAAGAAAGAAGACTTAAGTTGTATACTATTCCTTCAGAGGTTTAAGTTCAGATTTATTATTCTAATTTAATTGATTTTATTGTGATTTAAACTGTGGTGCTATATTTTCCAGTAAATATTTGATAAATATCTTTAAAAAAAGAACCATTTACATCATGGCTTTTTAATCAGTACATCTTTGGGGGGAAGCTATCTGAAAATGTACTTTAAAACAAACTGTCCAGTGTTAAGAGTCCCTGTAGCCCCATGACATAGCATGAAATGTTTCTGCAGCTTAGCAGCCCACGGGGTATGTGTTGCCCAGCCACAGGAAGACAGCACTTTCCACCATCCCCTCTGAAAAGTTGGTTCAGTTAGCTTGTTAGCAAGATACACATCTGGAATTTAGTCGTTTGATTTTATTTTCCAAAGTTGTTTGGAAATGTTTGTTCCAGCCCTTTGAAATTTTGATGATTTTTGTAAGGAAATGTGAAAGAAAAATGTTGAGGTCTTTCTGGTCTGTGTCTTTCAGGTGGATTGATTTTAAAACAACTAGATACAGCAAATTTTTCATATTTATACAATATTTTAAGAATTTGGTGCTTCATTTATCTTTAGTCCTTATATTAAAACTTTTAAGGTCTGCTATATTAGAATGACTTCAAAATATATTTTGTCCTTTGTATTAGTAAGAGAGCAGTAATAATTAAGTAAATTCAGCAAAACGTAGTATGTATCTCAAACAAATAACCTGAAAATCTTAACTGTGTATATGTGTTATATACACATATTAACAAACACAGTTGGCATGTGATTTTAGATAAATGTTTTACAAACTAGATTATAACATGAAACACTGTTAGTAAGGCTGATGGTATAGCTAATAGGTCTTTTGTTATGAGTGGAAGAAATTGGAAAGGGCATTACAGGTATGATTTCATTAAGCTAGAGAAACATCGGAGTTCACATTTTAAAAACATAATCATAACTTATCTGGAGTCACGTTCCATTTTATTGGCTTCCTTCATATAGAAAATATAGAAACCACTTAAATGCCTGTGAAAAAGTGAAACAATATATATTTTCTGGGTGAAGGAAGTATTCTGTACATTTTCCATGTTTTGCATCATGGTATTTTGAATAACCATGCTTCCATGTTCACATCAATTTTTTGTTTTTCAATTTATGCACAGCACTTGCTCTGAAATTTGGGGACTGAGTACACCAAATACGATAGATCAGTGGGATACAACAGGCCTTTACAGCTTCTCTGAACAAACCAGGTGAATATTCTGCCCTCTGTCAAATCCTAGAGCTCTTGTGGGAGGGGGGCTATCTTGGAAGACCTGTAGTGGGTTGCTTAGTATAATTTTGCCTAGTATGTTCCTTAATGTAAAATAAGGCATGGCATTTAAAATACCTGCTTGCCAGTATTAGAAATATATTAAATGTTTCAACTGATGTTTTGATCAATGAATTCTAGTTTTGAATCTTCTTTAAATTATTACATTCCCTAAAGAATAGGAACTTTGATAATTATATTCTCATTTTAATTTTAGATTATAATCTGTTGGCCTAATTTTTAAGTAGATACATAACCAGTTTTTACTAAATTTCTTGCTATCATCTAAATCTCATCTTCTTTATACTAATAAATACATATTTACCAAACCCCTTATATCACAATTAACACTAGGCTAACTTGTTTTTGTTATTTTTTTCTAACCACCTTACTCTCTTTTTTGAGCATATTGGTATTTGTCCATTTCATCCCATCATATTCATCACCATCTGCATTTATGTGTGAGCTATAGAAATACACCTCAGTGCTCAGAACAGTCATAGCTGGGTAGTAAGTTATGTTAGTTTGAGTAAGTTACTTTTACTCATTGGTGGTATTTACCATTCTTCACACTAGCACCTTTTTTTTGATAATTCAGTCACCTGCAGAATTAAAGCCCTTAAAAGCATCCCTAAGTAGGAGTTTACTAAAGATAGAAATTGACAGAAAGTTTTTCAAGTGTAACTGATATTCCCGCTAAAAATCAGTGTTTTCCCAAGTGGCTAGTCGTTCATTGCCATGAGATACGTCTTCTAGTGCTGCTGCTCACTATCACATCAGGGCCATTAAGTAGTGCATTTTGCTTCCTTGTGCTCACTAAAACTAACTGAATGTCTACCATTCCTTTCTTTATGCTCTTACTGTACTAATTTAGTCCATTTGAGTCCACCTTTTTTTTTTTTTTTAAGTTCCCACCTTTCTTTTCCCCTTGCTTTCAATAGGTCTCTTGATGGGCGTCTTCAGGTATCTCATCGAAAGGGACTGCCACATGTTATATACTGCCGATTATGGCGCTGGCCTGATCTTCACAGTCATCATGAACTCAAAGCAATTGAAAACTGCGAATATGCTTTTAATCTTAAAAAGGATGAAGTATGTGTAAACCCTTACCACTACCAGAGAGTTGAGACACCAGGTAAAAAAAACTAGATTTCTTTCCCCTTGTTTTAAATTAAATGCTTGAACGTTAAGTATATTGCGTACTCTTATACCTTGGAAATTTTGGTGTAAATTACCTTAAATTCAGTATGTATTTGGTGGTAATTAAAAGTTTTTTTAATGTTTTAAATATTTTATAGAAAATATATCTTAGAGGGTAAGATACGTCATTCTCTTGGGATAGCATACTATTTGACATCAGTGTACATATCCAGGAAATTCTAATCCCACAGATTTAGTCTGTTTAGAACTAAACTGGTAGACCTCTTTACCTGTCTGCTGCCTTAAATGTTTTCAGTCATCCTAATCTTTGAGTGTTTTTTTTTTTTGAGGTACTTTAATGACATCATTTGTATCTGCTCTGTTTAGTAAAACTCATAGCAAGACTTTTAGTTTAGTTAGCTGTGTACTGGAATCTTAGAATCTAAAAATCTGTATTCTAAGAATGCAAAGTCTGTGTTACGAGAATACAGCTGTATTTTTTAGAAAATTCCTTAAATTCAAATTTACAGGTCTTGCCACAACTGTTCCAGTAGGGATTTATTAGCTCTTAGGTTAATATAATGTTACCAGGATCACCCTGTCCTCCAAAGTACAGGATAAATTATAACTTGAAAATTTAGGTTGTGGACTATATGTTAATATTAATCAGATCTGTCAATTTCTCAATATCTAGTATAATACCAACTAAGTGGATTCTAAATTTTCAAAACTAGGAAGGCTATGTTCTTCTTTCTTTATGAAAACTTATTAAAGATTCCTCTCTCCACCCCCATTCCCTTGCTCTTTGCCATTAACATATATTTCTTTTACTCTTTTAGTCTTGCCTCCGGTATTAGTGCCACGGCACACTGAGATCCTAACAGAACTACCACCTCTGGATGATTATACCCACTCCATTCCAGAAAACACTAATTTCCCAGCAGGAATTGAGCCTCAGAGTAATTATATCCCAGGTATTTTTTGCTTCCTGAATCTCCTGAAAGTTGGGATACATAGAAATTTCGTTGGTAAACATTCGGTAGTAGTAAAGTAATGGTTTGACTTTTTTTAAAAAAAAGCTTCTGGATTTTGAATAGAAAAGTCTGATTTGCTAGGTAATTATTTTGTGAAATATATAAGCCTAGCACTTTAAACTCTTTTGTCTAGAGAAAAGTTTTACTTTATATTTCATTTTCTTTTGCAGTGGCTTTAATCAAAGTACTGTGAGAAGCAGAAAAGAAAAGATCTTAGTAAGTTTGTCTTAGTTGTTGAAGCTAAGATAGATGCAGAATGTAACCAACATAAATGGCACAGGAAACAAGAATTCCAAAAACAAATGAAACTAAAAACTGACCAAATAATCACTTTCACAGATAGCTTGATAATGTTGAAGAAAAATGTAACATTCCCATAGGAGATAGAATATTTTAGTTCTACAGACATAGCAACACATGTACTGAAAATCAGAAAATCTTTATTGTTGTTCATATGGGCCTTGGTAGTTCCTTTTGTAAACTAAGTGAATTCAACTACATGTTTCTCAAATTCCACTCATTTTATTGTTTTATATGATCCAGTAATATTCTATGATATGGTAGCTAGCCTTTTAGTTTTCCCTATTTTTTAGGAAAACAACTAGCATTTCCATACTTTGTGTCCCTTTTTTGTTTTGTGGGTTATTTACTAGCAGAAGCAACAGTATAATATTAGGATAAGGATTAAGTTATCCATTGGCTATTTTAGTGTCTCAGTCCTTTTCTCCTTTTGTAGTATTCCTCCATTCCACTCTAATTTTTATACAACTGAAATTAATGTAAAGAACTTAGCGTTTCACGTACACTAAGCAATATTTCTTTAATGTGTCTCATCACAGAAATAACAGTTGGTCATTGAAAGTTTTAAAAACGTAAGGAAAAGAAGAATTTTTCAAAATAGTTATTTTAAAGTTAGGAAGCGTATTATGATTGTTTTATTCTGCCTTTCTTTATTTAATTTTATTACAAAAGAAGATTCAAGGCTGCTTTTTGGGTTGCTAGAAACAAACTTTTTGAGAAGTTAGGAGACAGGGCATAGAGTGGGGTGGAGTATGAGGCCCAGGATGAGGGAAAAACAGGACTACACAGGACATTTCCCAGGGAGAAGAATGTGGCTGGAAGCAGAGTGATGTGCGTGCAGTGTGTGGAGCAGGAGGCATTTTAAATCTTTGATGTGGGAATTACTAGTATTCAACAATACCAGGAAGCTGAAGGTTTAAGCTTAAGGCCTTTTAAGACACCTACCCAATAATGATTTAGAAGAATGTTCATCAGAATGTTAGTGGCTTTCACTGTGGAGATGTTTGGGTTTATTTTCCTGTCTTCTTAATTTGTTTAGGTGTGGGTACTCTACAAAGTAGAAAATTGAAAGTGGATTCCACCTATTTATTTTTCTGGGCAGAGGGGCTTTATGCAGCTCGGTCCAACTGACAGCAAAACTTAAGGGTTCACTTTTTGTACCTCTTAAACAGAAATTTTAACATTTCCTCCAAAATGCTGATAGCTCTGTTATTTATTATTGTGTAGATAAATAATAATGAGTAAAGAAAAATAGAATAAAGTATTTAAAGGCTCAGTATTTCTTCCTTTTGAGAGCTTTGAGACATGGCTGGTTAAACTGGCAAAGCTAATCATTTAAATTTTATTAGCTTTAACCTTTAAAATAGTACATAATGGGATGTATTATTCTTATTTTTGTGTTCTTTGTTGTTTGAGAACATGGAAGTATTTTATTTTATTCTTAGAATTTCATTATTAAAAATTTTGGGGCACGAACAAATGAAAAGGTTGGTATTTCAGAAGTTAAAATGTGTAGTTAGCTTGCAGGGAGGTTGTAAAGGGTCAGTGAAGGAGCTCTTTAACTCTTCTCTATCCCCCTTTTGATAATTTCAAAATTCATTTTAGGTATGTGTCAGCATTATCTTGAATTGCTTAAAATTGTCCAGCAATATAAATGTTGAACTACTAATAATCATCTAAAATTATTTTTCCTCCTTGAAATTATAATTAGTAAAATTACATGAGTGTTTTTATTTTATAAGAAGCTTATTCAGCTATTCAGATGCCTCCCGAATATAAATATAAAATGTTGGAAATGACACATTACAATCCTATCTTCAGAAAGGAATTTGCCTCAGTTTTGTACAATACTCTGTATTTAAATTTAATTTCCCACTTCAAACACTCAGGATTTACTGTTTAGAAATCCCTGGAGAAATGTACTTTTTAGGCAGAATTCAAGCTAGACTAGTCCTGAATTATATTACCATATTTTGCCCCACAGAACCTAGTGTAAGATGTAAGCCTGTATCCTGAATTGTGTGTGTGTGTGTGTGTCCTTTAATCATCTCTGAGGTGTGTGTGTGTGTGTCCTTTAATCATCTCTGAGGTATATCCATACATGATGACCATAAGTTAAAAAATTGTGGGTACTAATTTCTTTGAAGCATAATGATTCAGAACTGAGACATCTTTGAAGTTATATTTTTGGCTCTTGCCCTAGAAAATATACATATGGGAATGAGCCAGATACGTAAATAATAGCTAAGGAAGTATGCTCAGAGAGCCTGATTGTATTATAAGTAGGTTTAAGAATTCACCTATAAGATTTGGATTGGAATCTGAATTATAAGCCCTCAATAGCCAATATTGCTTTTTGTAATGTTATATAATGTTCATTTTTGTTACTTGGAGTGATTTCTTTCATTATCTTTGGTAGCTAGGAGAAAAGGTGGTGAGATTAAATTGCAATTGCACTAGATTTGTTCTAAACTTTTATAGAAACGCCACCTCCTGGATATATCAGTGAAGATGGAGAAACAAGTGATCAACAACTAAACCAAAGTATGGATACAGGTAAAAAAAAATTTGAAAATATCTCGGTAATTAGATAATATGTTTTGCCTTGTTTGAAATGCACAAGAGTTATTCATAACACTAAAATTGAGAGATGTTGGGACACATATCAAGAAAAGAATCTTCTGCCTTGATTTCATCACATTGAACCAGGGAGGGCCCTGTTGTCAGTGAAAAATTAACATGCTACTGTGCAGAATGATTTTTAGAATTTTCTCATTAAAATTACTGAAAATTTGAAAACACTTTTCAAGTATTCTGTGCTTCTGTTTAAAATTTTAGTTACCTTATGAATAAATGTCTTTGTGATGTAAGGCCATAACTAGCCCAGTAACAGATTTTTTCAAAGGAATTTGGAGGTGAGGGATGAGGGTCCGCATTTCAGTGCTCCTTTAACCTAATAGTGAGTTTTGAATTGTAGTAGATTGTTTACACAAAACACCTTGTAGCCGACCTGATTTAATTAATTTCTAATATTTAGTCATCAACTCCAAACATAGTGGACAAAAAGTGTTAATATGTAATTCACATTACACACATCAGAGCTTTAAAACAGTTATGTCATAAAATGTGTAACCCATCAGAACTAATAGGTTACCAGTGAAATAGTTGTGATGTTATTGTAATTGTCTTATTTGATGTATTCCTCCTTGTCTGTATCTTAAGGATTGGACACTTTAATATCATAACCTGACAAACATAACATTAGCTTTTCTATATAGTTTATACTATTTGCAGTTATGATAATCTAAGTTATTTTAAAATAAATTAACATTGGCAGGAGTTGGGACAGGGGAGGACTGGATTTAACAGTAATTCCATTGTTTAAATCCTTCCATTATTTAGACCCAAGTAAAGATGCTTTTCCTATAGCTAATCATGCTTGTAGCTGTTAGAGTAGTAGGTAGCCAAGAAAAGTAAATTATCTAATGATCATTGGAAATAGCATGTTGTACAGCTTAATACAAATGTCTTACTACAGATAATAGCTCTCCAAGTGTGTTTTCCTAACATGCTTGTATATCAAAAGAACTGTATTCCTGAATCAACCATGTTCCTTTTTTGCCCTATGATGGATGACTGCTGCTGTGACATTGAAAAGCGAATGCCATGAAAGATGCTCAACTTCACTAGTCATCAGTGAAATGCAAATCCAAATCACCATGGCATGCTGCTTCACACTCACTAGAGTGGCTGTAATCAAAAAAGGACAGTAACAAGTGTTGATGATATGGAGAAGTTGGAGTCTTCATATGTTGCTGGTGGGAATGTAAAATGGTTCAATTGTTTCAGAAAGGTTTGCCGTTTCTCAGAAAGAAATAGAGAATAACAATGTGACCCAGCAATTCCTAGGTAAAAATAAAATATCCAAGAAAACTGAAAACATATCCACACTAAATTTGTACATGTAGGGACTATTTATAAAAGTATGTAAATGGAAGCAATTCTATTGTCCATCAAATGATAAATGGAGAAATTAAAGGTGGCATATCCATACATTGGAAAATCATTCACCATAAACAGAATGAAGTACTGACATAAGCTACAACATGGATGAACCTTGAAAGCACTGTGTTAAATGAAGAAGCCAGGAACAAAGGGTCACAAAGATTCCAGTCAGTGCACAAATGTCTGATCGTATAGCTCAAATGTGGGAAGAGCAATAAAATAAATATAATCACTGGTAATGGAATGGGTCATAATTGAAAAGGGGAGAACAGGCCAACTAACATGAATTCATTGTTTTCAGGCTAGCTTTGAACCTAATATTTCTAATTCTGTTTCAGTGGGAAAATGTTACTGACTTTTTCAAAATGATGCATTTAAAAATTTTCCTGTAATGACAATCACATACTTGATTCATGAGATGCTAAAATTTGGTTTAGCTAGCAGTCTTCTACCCACTAACAATTCTTCTCTCAATGCCATGGAAAGAAAGCTCTGACTGATGTAGGGCCCCAATTTAGAACAAAATTGACCTCAGTTTAAACTCTAGTCCCTACCTTCACTGAAGGGAAGGACATGATTAAATTCGTCTTTCAAGCGCAGCTGGGATAGGAGTTAATATATTTTAAAAGGATAACCAGAGGACAAATTAAACAGAATAAAGAACTGTACGAACAAGCCCCTGTTATTTTTTTCTTTTCATTTATATTGTCTTTACCTCCTCCTCCTCCCCTCCACCTTTCCTCCTCTTCTTCACTCACCCCTACCCCCATCCCCGCTGTATTTTATTATTACATTCTCTGTTCAAGCCTTCATTCTTCCTTTAAAGTCTTGTGGACAAGTCTCATGGACATTAACGATCAGGCTGGACATCACAGGAAATCTAAACACTTGATTAAGTTGTAATTTTTTCTTGCTGTAAGCAGTTCTGTGTACCGAGACAAGGTTCACATACCACACTTAGTAGACAGCTTCTCTAACCAAGTGCATATAATCAGGATAGAATGGTCAGATGCTGAGCTAGACTACATGAGTTTGAATTGTTCCTCTACTGTGTACTAGCTAGGTGACCTTGGCACATAGTCTCCTTATCTGAATTAGGGATAGTAACACCGCTCAACCCAAAGGGTTGTTAGCAGGATTAATATTCGTAAAGCAATTAAAAGTGTTTCTAACTTACAGTAAGCACTATCTGAGTGTATTTAAAGAAAATATAAAAGGAATTCACTACAAAAAAGGAAGGAAGTTGATTATGCAAAAATTAGAAGGTAAATGAGAAATTGAGATCCAGGGAGAGAAGCAGTTCACTTTTTATGCTTAGAGTCTTCTCAATATAATTTGAAAGTAAGGTTATTTGTCAAGAATGAAAGATCAGGTTTGAGAATTTTAGGATAGTTGTCTTATTGGCTACACTATCTTTCTGCAGTGTCTCACAGTTTTTAGATAGCATATAACATGTCCGTCATTAGATGCATTCTTCACTATTTTTACCTTTATAGAGCTATTGTGAATGTTATTTTTCTTATTATTTTCTAATTGTTCCCAGGATACTGAATAAAATTTGTTTTTATGTATTGATCTTTTTTCCTGCACTTTGCTAAAATCACTTTGGTTCTAGTAGTCTGTAGATTCCTGAGATTTTATGTGTATACATAGAAAATGTATGTTAAATGAAGACAATTTGCCTTCTTCCTTTCTAGTGTTTATACCTTCTTTTTCTTTCCTGGCTAAGATCTGCAGTAAAATGTTGAATAGGAATATCACAGTATTGTTTTTGCTTTAGAAATATTTTGTATTTACCTACCTTTTTGTTTGCCATTTCTGCTCTCCATTCCTTTCCTAGAGACATCAGTCCAGTTTTAGCACCATTTGTTAAAGAGACTTTTTCTTTCTCCATTGATTTATCTTGGCTCCTTTGTTGAAAATCAAGTGATAATGTTTATGTGGGTCTGAGTTAGTCTGCTGAGGCAATTCAATGAATTCATTTCACATAATCTGTTTTTCAGTTTTATGATTTCCATTTTAAAGTCTTTATCTGATAATTCCAGTATCTAGTTCATATGTAGGTCTGCTTCTGTTGACTTTTATCTCTTGATTATGGGTCAGTTTTTCCTACTTTGCATGTCTCATGTTTTTTAATCAGGTGCTGTATGTTGTGTATAAAATAATGCTAGAAAGTAGTATAAATATTTTCCCTTGCAAAGAGTGACCTATTTTTCTCTCTGGCTGCTCACTTAAGGAACTAATCTTTTCTGTATAATTAAGGACTTTCTTTGAATGGGTGATGATTAGAGGCCTTAATTAATATCAGATCACCTCAGGTTTGAAGGAGGAGCAGTCCCCTAACTGAGCAGGACTTTCAGATTCGAGTATGGCAAGATTGCAGGATCTCGCACTGCTTTCCAGCCTTGCCCAAAACTTCTGTGCTATCATGTACTTAGCCAAAGACATGGGGGGGTTAGAATTGAGTAGTGAAGAGGACTGTACCTTATGCTTGGACTTCTCAGATTCCATTTGCCTGTGCATGGCCATTACAACTTTAGGTGGTGTGCCCTTTGGCACAATCCTGTGTGTCTGTGTCCTGACTTGGCCCGTGGTCCCAGTGAGGAAAGTGGTTAGCACTCTTTACTTATGTAGGAAGAGCTCTTCCTTCTCCTTAACTATTTCACTTAGACTTAACTAGAGCTATAGCTTTTTGGTAACTTCATAGAAAAAAAATTGTTTAGTGTGCTTGTTATTTTCTCATTGTTATTTTAGGAGCAAGGATTTTTCCCTGTCTTCTACATTCTAACCATTAGGGGAACCTTGTAGAAGTTATTGATAAAAACAAAAGAAAAACTTTATTTTCATTATGAACAGAATTCATGCTCATTAAAAATTTGGAAATTCATAGAACATAATAAAGAAACAGGAAAATATTTTTTTAAAGCTGACACTGGCATATTACACATATCTTTTTTGTCCAATCTCATATTTCTACCATTCTATGTCAAATAAAAGTTAAATAGTATTTTACAGATAAAATTATGACTCAACATTTTGAATTATGCAACAAAAATGCTCACTATATATTAAAAAGCAGTAAAACAAAACTTAAACATTGTTTAATTATATCATCTTGCAATAATTACACTCTTAATTAAAAAAATTCGACGCTTAGCAAAAAAGCCCACAACATTCCAATAAACATCATAGAAAAATGGCTAGAAAGTGATAGAGGAATTTGCACCTAGGATGCAGATCCTAGAGATCCTGTTTTTGACTATTACATGAGACTTTTTCTGTCTGGTTTCAGAGGACATGGGAAGAAATGCATGCTATTCAGATATACTGCCATGGGTAGGACTTGATTGGTGATTAGGTAGGGGTAAGGTTGAAAGAATTACCCAGTATGATTCCCAGTTTTCGAAAGGTTTGTTAAAGTCATTGATCTGTGTTCAATAAATTATATTTTTTAAAGCATATATTCTAAGCCTTTTTTGGTATAAAAAGAAAATGGCAGGTGATTTTAGTTCTTCAGGATTTTTTTGTAATGAAAACGAAGGATATAAAGTGAAATGATTTGTAATGAAAACAAAGGATATAAAGTGAAATGATTTTAAGACCTTTAACTTGCCTTGTCTTTTTGTATATGCCTTTTGAAAGAATGATTCTATTTTTACTTTTTCATTTGAATGATAATTTATGCTTTGTTACACTGAAACTTATTAACTAATATATTTCTTCACCATTAATTTTGTTTAGGAAATTAGAACTAATTTTAATTCTCCTCAAAGATATTATAAAATAAATAATAAAGGTAACTAATCTCATACCAAAATGAATTCTGTTTGGAGCAAACACTTAAATGGAAAAAATGAAGCCTATTATTTCTAATACATGACACTTAAGAATTTTTTAGTCTGAGTATGAAACATGCAATATATAAAAACCATACGAGAAGAGATTAATTTGAATAAATAAAATGTTAAATGTTAAGACTACCCATTTATTAGAATGGCCAAAATCTAAACCTGGCAATACCAAATCCTGGCAAGAATATAGAGCAACAGAACTCTTCATTCATTGCTTGTGGGAATGCAAAATGGTACAGCCAGTTGGGGAGAGAGGTTGGTAGCCTCTTAGAAAACTAAACATACTTTTAACCATATGATCCAAAAGAATTTACCCAAAAGAATTGAAAATTTATGTCCACACAGAAACCTGCATGTGGATGTTTATAGTAGCTTTATTCATAATCATGAAAACTTGGAAGTAACCAAGATGTCTTTCAGCAGCTGAATGAATGAACAAACAGTGGCACTTCCAGACAGTGGATATTATTCAACACTAAAGAGAAATGAGCTATTAAGTCACAAAACTACATGGAGGACCCTTAAACATATATTACAAGTGAAGGGAGCCAATCTGAAAAGGCTGTGTGCTTCATGATTTCAACTATATGACACTCTGGAAAAGGGGAAAACTGGAGAGTAGAAGAAAGATCAGTGGTCACAAACAGTTAAAGGGGAAGGAGGATGAATAGGCAGAGCACAGGATTTTTAGGGCAGTGAAACTACTCTGTGTTATACTACAATGGTGAATATATCATTACATGTTTGTCAAAATCTATAGAATGTATAACACCTAGAGTGAACCATAGTGTAAACCGGGCTTTGGGTGATACGGACTGTCAGTGTTGGTTCCTCGATGCAACGAACATACTACTGGTGCCAGATGCTGATGACAGGGGAGGTTGTATGTGTATGTGGGAACTCTGTACTTTCTGCTTAGTTTTGCTCTGAACCTAAAACCGCTCTAAAAAATGATGTCTGTTAGAGAATTTTAAAAATGTTACCTTGTAAGATAACCAAAACAAACCAAAAACTTGGGAAAATAGAGTTGTCCCTTTAACCCTATCAAATTGGAAGTATCAAAAGGGAGTGATGCGGACTACCTTATAAATTGTTGGGGGAACTAAGTATTTTGGGAGGGTACTTTGGCACTTAGGAAAATTTAACACATGCCTTTTGATCTAATATTTCCTCATTAAAAATATTTGTTTCCTACAAATACGTGCAACTTTGAATGCAAAGATACATGCACAGGGATTTCTCTAGGTCTTTTAGCTGCAAGTAGCAGAAATCACTGATGCAGACTAGCTTAGTGAGACAGACTTACTATTTCTCATAACTAGAAGTCCCAGACTTCTGTAGCAGCATGTATATTAAGTAAGTAAATTTTTGATCAACTTACCTATTTTAAAAAATGTTCTTAAAATCTTTTAACCTCTTAAAGTTTTCTATATGATTATACTGAATCCTTTACACAATCTGTAATTCTAAATTTTACCACATCTGACTGAATATTAGTCTAAGTTAATGATCTGTCACTCTACTCAATGTATTTAATAGAGGAGTAAACAGTTAAGAGATGTGAAAAATAGGACAGTTTCCTTCTTTTCTAATAGTGGCTTTGTATTTTTATATCAGCTCAGGAAATAGCACTTAAGTTTTAGCTCATTGTTCTAAATATATTTTGACCTTTCTTAGTTGTACCTGTTGTGACTTGCCAACAGATTTTGCAAAGTGAGGACCAGAAAAAGAACATATGAGCTTCATTTGGTTATTGAAGAGTGTTCTGTCTTCTAAAAAATAATTGTCACCTGTTCTCTATTTCTGGTCATCTGTTTATCTGGGGATTGCCATTTCACCTGTGTTGCCTATGGGTCTAGTGGTGTGGGGGACAGGAGAGGAGGTGCACAGAGGAGGATCTGACTGTCTTATTCTACATCTCTGCCTTTGCTCTATATTCAGAGCTGAGGAGCTGTGGGGCATGCTCTTTTAGATAACTTGCCCAAAGTTTATAGAGAATAATAACCAGAAAACAAAACTTACCATGTAATTATTATATGGTTATTTAATAACATTTATAACAAATGTGTTTTGATTGCATGGAACTGAACAGAGTAATTTCTCAATCATCCTGTTTTTCTTGTGTCAGTATTCATTCCTTCTTTTTCTTAATGTATTTGTGCCTCCCTCATTTTCTTGACTCGATTTAGCCTGTTTACCTAAATCTGGAAGAAAGAAATGGATACTTTTCTAAGAAAATAAAATTTACCAAAGTGACCAGAAAATAGAGCTATCTTACAGACAGCTTTCATAGAATAGAGAAATATCTTAAAGTAATCCTAGAAGATTATTGACTGCAAACAATTACACACAGGAATTTTACAAAACTATTAAAAATTGTGTATTACAATGCTATTCAAACTGTTGGAGTATAGAAAAGACCTAAAGCTTCTAGGTTGTCTTTATAAAGCAGCATAACATGGCACTTGCAACATAAATCTACCAACCAGTACTGCTTGAGATTATTGCCACAAAAGTCCTGAATAAGGAATTTTCCCTCTCATTCTCAAAGCTGGCATCAGACTTTATGGGAAAATACTAGAAGTAGTCCCTGAAAGTTAAGACAAAAATATCCACTGTCACCACTGCTTTTATCAAAGTGTGACAGACCCCAAAATGATTAATAGATTAAATAACGTGAAAGTTTTAATTATGCTTAGTCAAAGTTAGAATTAAGAATCATGACAAATGACCAGAAATTTGCAACCCATAACATGAAAGGACTAGTATCCCTAGTACATAAAGAGCCTTATATAAATTGGTGAGGAAAGTGATCAACACCCTAATAGAAGAATGAGCAAAAGAAAAGAACAGATTATTCACAGAAGGGAAATACAATATAAGGAAGTATAAAACTGCTCAGTGTCATTTATAAGGAAGATAGAAGTTAAACTGTACCATGTTCTCATCTATCTGATCACACACAAGCAGGCTCTCACGATTTACTGGGAAGGTGAACTGATACAACCTTTGTAGGTGACAATTTTGGCAAAATCTGTCAAAGTTACAAATTCATAGCCCTTTGACCTGGCATTTCCTCTTAATTTTAAAAGTCTATTATTTGATATGGTTGGAAGTATTGCAAAATGTAAAATAGTGGTCATTGTAATCTTAGTTCTTAAAGCAAAAGATTGAAAATAGCCTGAGGTGAGTATCCATCAATATGGAATCATAATATACCATTATGTAATGTTACACAACTAAAAAATATATATATAGTGGGGTAAATAATAAGGAAACATACCAGTATCTCTGATAAGTAGTGTAAAAGCAAAGTTCATAACTTTGTTACCATTTGTATATAAAAAGTTGGGGGTCACAGAACAGTGTATTTATTTGTAGGTTCATAGCATATTTCTGGAATGATACACAAATAACTGATAACATTGAATATCTTTGGGAAAGGGAACTGGGTGGCTAGATGCCAGTACTGTTTATACTTTTTATACCTTTTCTGTATTGAAACTTCCAAATTAAACTCATATAACACAGTTGTATGTTTTGAATTCTTGGGATGTAAATTATGTGATAATTATAACAGATAACAAATTTTATTGTTGCTTGCTCAGAAATTCTGGGTATACTTCCACATCTGTTTTAAAATGGAATCCTTCTATTTCAGGATCTCCAGCAGAACTATCTCCTACTACTCTTTCCCCTGTTAATCATAGTTTGGGTAAGTTGGAAATATTTTTTTCCCACCATTTTTATACTGTATCACTTTAAATGCCCCTGTGGTAATTTTTCATAGATGAGAAATGAATCCTAAAGAATAATCAAATGATTGTTCAAATTAGTACTTTTTTAAAAGCAATATTGATAAAGTACCTCAATATTATCAATATTACTAAAACTTGTATGGTACATATAAGAAATTAATGGAAACCATATTCTGTATTCATGGAAAATTCTATGACTTATGGCTGAATTTTTATGAGTATGTTTATGATATGTTTTATTACAGCAATTATTGATAAAAGAGGTATGTGTATATACATGCTGTAGTTTATTCTTGGCCTTCTTTTTACCTTACTATTTCACAATTTTTCAGTTTCTATGCATTTGGAATTTATACTACAAAATTTTCAGTTTTTATCATGATACTCCTTATGATGTCTTTTAATCAAAACTGTTTCTTGTGTTGGTTTTCTATTTTTGTAACTCACTGAAAGTGTCATGTTAAAATGGACAAATGTCAGAAATACATCATATTTTGCACTCTGTTATTATGACAATTTTTCTTCTTGTGGCTTTTGACGTTTTAATAGTTTCTCCAGCTTTATTCCACTTCATCCTACTAGAAATTATCAATACATTATGCAAGTTGATTTTCTTTACCTGTTGTGGTTTTATATTTGGACAAAATAATGTGACTAGTAGAACAAATGATCCACCGTAAAGTCTAAAAAAGTTATATGAAAATTAGGTGACTTAATGAAATGGAGGAAATTTGAAAAATTAAAAATCTGGTCTGACTGGATGGAAACAAGTTTGTGATACAGATTTGTTAAGTCCACTTCCTGAGCTGTTGCCAGTGTAGGCTGACATAGAGCATGTAAAGATGATGATAATTCAATCTATTCTTGGCTTGAATTGTCCACACAACATTTCTTGCTTTTACGGGTTTGGTTTTTTCCCTCCAGATTTGCAGCCAGTTACTTACTCAGAACCTGCATTTTGGTGTTCAATAGCGTATTATGAACTAAACCAGAGGGTGGGAGAGACCTTCCATGCATCACAGCCCTCACTCACTGTGGATGGCTTCACAGATCCATCAAATTCAGAGAGGTTCTGCTTAGGTTTACTCTCCAATGTCAACCGAAATGCTACTGTAGAAATGACAAGAAGACATATAGGTATGTGTTTATTTCCTTGTGTGAAAAACCAATGCCGTAATTCACAATGTGAGCATTACATGGTTTACCACATCAAGAGATCATGTGCCAAAAAGCCTGCCTTCTCTGTCAGTTTGAATGCATTCCTGGTTAAGTACATGCAGCATCACTGCTTTTAATAGATCCTGGTGATCCATCCATCTGCAAACTCTTATCTTCAACTTCTCTTTATTTGGCGCCCTTGATTCTGGGAAGGCCTTCAGTAAATATATGTTAAAATTATTTTGCTTAGTCTCTACCAGTCATAAAATTGCCATGTTCAGATTTTAGGTTATAATTTTAACAATAATGGAATTTTTTCAGTTTGTTTACATCTCCTTGTTTTTTCCCCCTTCATTGAGTTCATACATCAAATTTTCTCACTATTCATCTGATCTAAAACAGGAACTACCATTTAATATATGGTTCAAAAAATAATTTGGAGGATCTCAGAATGTGGTATTCTCACATACTTTTTCAGTAAGTTTGTGAGGTTAAAACTATCTTGATAATGGTACTAAGATATTTTTTGCCTTTTCAGTCTCATTCTCTCATGAGTGTATAGTGACAATTTCAGAAGCTATGAGACATGATTTAGATTTCTAAGAGATTAAATGTAGAATCTGATGAGAATCCAACTCTGTTCTGTTAAGTCAGACATTAAAGAGATTTGCAAAAATGTAAAACATTGCTACTCTTCTCACTAATTTTTCTTGCTTTGGAAAACAGTTATTTTTTCATAAACATTTATGTTAATATGCAATGGGTTTATTTTTATTTTTACATGAATTAAGAAATTTTTTGAATCTCAGTTTTAGTATCTAATATGGTATGTTTCCATAGATATAATCCACATAAACAAAAACTGGAGTTTTCAGGGTTTTTTTGAGAATGAGATAGAAAAAGTTTGAGCACCACTAATATAGCTGAACATAATTCTAATCACCTGAACGTAGCTTTTTTTAATACTAGCTTGCTTTTGTTTTCTATTTAATTAACCATTACCTCCCATGAGAAATACTGCTGATCACTAAAGAGCGAGGGTGCTGCTGCAGGCCAGTGACTTCAGAGGTCTGTTACTTGGTTCCTTGTGGAATTTCTCCAGTCTTACTTGTGTAAATTTTGTATCACTTCTTAAGGTACCCAGCTGTCCTGTAGGTGGGGAAGGCTTCTGAGTACCCACCCTACTTTTAACTAAAATCATTCTGTGTTTTTTTGTGGTTTGGGGGTGGTTCTGCATACAAATTAACAGAAGGTATCCTCTACCCTGTTCACTTGTCTAAGAATTTTAGATTGCTGTGATTATTCAGTCATCTTTTTACTTTTGATTTCTAGTTTATTGTGTGGTTTTGATCAAAGAATGTAGCCAGGAAAATGACTACTTTTTAGACTTTTGATTTCCTGACAGTCAAGTACATGATTGGTTTTTTCACAAATATTTTGTAGGCATAAGAGAACAGGGCACCAGGTTCTGTATTTTTATATTAAATCTGGCTTGTTTTATTAGTTTTCCTTTGCTGTGTAACTTAATGTCACACACTAACCAGCCTGAAATAACACAAATTTATTATTTCATGGTTTCTGTGGGTTAGGAGTCTCCTCAGGGGATATCAAGGTTTCTCAGCTGGGCTGTGTTCTCATCTGGAGCTTGAGGTCATCTTCCACGCTTAACATGATTGCCACAGAGTTCACTTCTTTGAAGTTTTAGCACCGAGGTCCTCAGTTTCTGTAGACTGTCAGCCAGAAGCTGCTCTCATTAACTAAACGCCACCTGCCTTCCTCACCACATGGCCCACTCCATCCTCACAGTCAGCAGTGGAGAATCTCTTGTGTTGAATCTGTCCCACTCACATTTTGAATCACTTTCATCATGGACAGTCCAGTCCCTTGTAAAGGCTGTCACCTAGTTATGTCAAGCCCACCAAAAAGAATCTCCCTTTCTTGGGGTCAGCTGATTTGAGACCTTAATTGTATCTGAAAAATTCCTTGACATACAAGCACCTAGGTTAGTGTGTGACTGAATAATAGATGTGCACACACCAGTGGTGAGAGTCTTAAATGCTGTCTTAGAACTCTGCCTTTCATAGTTGATTTTCAAAATCCTTATATTTAATATTTTGTGTGCCTTTGGTATGCCAGGTTCTGAAAGTGGTGGTATATTAAACTTTCATAATGTAATTTTTTCTTACCTAATTCTGCTTATAAATCAAGGGATTTCATTGCTATAATAATACATAGTCTTAAAAGGGGTAAATGACTCTAACATCTTGATTTTTATTACCTTTTTTCATAACCTTAGTGGCATCTTTAAGGAAATGCTGCTTATTATATAATGAAGGCATATTTATCCAAACATTGGTTAATTCCTTCAAAATTAACTCAATTTATTTTACTTATTTTAAAAATATGTATAATTTATATGAAATTATTTTACTCTATGTACTTCTCGACATTGTTCACATACACTTGATAAGCATGTATTCTTTTTACAAATCAGTAAAATCGTTGTTAAAAACTACATGGAAAGTATACAGTGATATGTTTCTAAACTAGACTTCAGAAAAGCATAGTTATGGAAAGGTTGTCAAAATACCTTACATCATTTTAGTATTGCTCCAAGAAGACCTCCAAAGTCATACTAAATAATAAATGTTATAAAACTAATCCCATATGTATTTTGTTTTAGGAAGAGGAGTGCGCTTGTATTACATAGGTGGGGAAGTTTTTGCTGAGTGCCTAAGTGATAGTGCAATCTTTGTGCAGAGCCCCAATTGTAATCAGAGATACGGCTGGCACCCTGCAACAGTGTGTAAAATTCCACCAGGTATGGATTCAACACCGTAAATAAATGTACCATATCAACTTGCTGAATTTTTCTAGTTGCTATTAATTTTAGGAATCAGGAGATGATTTGCATGCTCATAGTCTGATATCATAGCCCTTTTAAAGTTATTTTCTTTTGGTGATACTCTTTCACAAATTTCTTTTACTTTTTTCAATCATAGGCTGTAATCTGAAGATCTTCAACAATCAGGAATTTGCAGCTCTTCTGGCTCAGTCTGTTAATCAGGGTTTTGAAGCCGTGTATCAGCTGACTAGAATGTGCACCATAAGAATGAGTTTTGTGAAGGGTTGGGGAGCAGAATACCGGTAAGAAATACATGTTCAGTTTCTAAATTTCCACAGCATAGTCCTTCTTTCATCCATTCTTTGTGTCTTCTGGAATTTATATATATATCTGTTTCATTGAAGAGTCAGCAGATCTTATGTAAAATAACAAAAAAAAAATTGGCAACCTCTAGATTCAAAACTACAAATTTCTGTGCAGACATTATAGATGATACAGTTAAAGCCAATACAGACACACATTGTAACATGATATGGAGTATTAAATACCACAGGAGGCATATATTTGAAGGGTTATGTCTGTTCAGGGAAGGAGAGACAGTTTCTCTGGGCTTGGAGAAGGTTTCTGATGGAGATGGCATGTGATCTAGAGTCTGAAAGATGTGTAGGATTCAGGTAGGCTGAGTTAGATTCGATTAGTTAGGAGGGGTTGGGTAATGAACCTCCTGGCAATAGAATGTTTCCGTTTGACTGGAGTATAGAAAATAAAGAAGAATAAGGCTGGACAAATAAGTTGAAACCCCTTTGAATATACAGTTAATAGGTAGAATGTTTTTTAGTGATAGAAGGGGGTACTTGCTAGGTGCCAGGCACACCGTGTTGTGTTTTAAATGCAGTCTCACACCTTCCAACTTGGCTAAGAATTACTGTTTCTGTTATCCTTTCTCTTAATAAGGTTGCAATCTTTGTAGGTAAAAAATGGTTCAGACTAATACTTACTTGGAAATAAGCTTAGAAAAGATTTGATAATTTGCCCAAGGGCACATTGTAAGTGGTAGAGATGGGACTTGAAGAAAGCTCTCCTTGACTCCTAACGCCTTCTCTACAGTTAGTAACATTTACGTAATTGAGTTTTACAAAAGTTAATTTGTCATCAGGGGATAAAAGAGATTAGATTGTTGCTAAATTAAACAATAGACTAGCTTCCATATCAAAGAAAGAGAAGACCTCCTCAGCACATGAAAGGATAGAATTATGAGTAAAATACTTAGTCTTCCTCCAACTCTTATTGCTTACTCTCCGAGTGCCTTCCTAAGAAGACATTAACATAATATCATAAGTTTTCCTGTTAAATCCAGCAGTTGGGCCCATCACAATTTGTTTCACTTTATTTGTAAACTTGATTCCCTATCTTGGACATGTTTGATGATGTATATAGCTTTTTGAGGCAGTGAGATTTGAGGTCTGCTCATTGAAAACTTACAAAAACATCCTCTGTGTTACATAGTTATATCCTAGAATGAAGACTTGTCACTATTTTGTCCAAGTTATATTAGAATAATTAATTTTGTGACTTGTTCTCTTTTGTTTTAATCATTTCCCTTTTGAGATGTGATACTTTTAAAGAATGCTGAGTTCCTTTTTTCCTTCAGACTTGAGTTGACCTGAGTTAATATTAAAATTAGATTCAGATGGTACTATCTGATAACTGTAAGTCAGACTTGTTTTTTCTTTTAAAAAGATAGAATGTTGCAGAATATGATAAAAATTCAGTGGAATTAAGTAGGAACTGGATAGGTCAGAGAGGCTTCCATGTACATCTATAGGTCTCCTGCTAAGAACCATTTTCAACAGTGGAGAGAGGTACTGCTCTTCATTCACCATGGATTCTGCCATTCTTTAACCTAGAGATAATTTATATCTGTAATTATGAGAAGCACTAACATACATTATATTTTTATCTATGGAGGCAGGTACATCTACTTTGGATAGTGTAGTAGTTCCTTTAAAATTTAAAATTTACAAATCAAAATGCTGTCAGATACCCACATATCTGTGAACTATGGGTAGTTACCAGGAACCTTTTATCCTTAGTGACACTGGAGCTGAGGAGGTAAATCTATTTCTAAAACTGTTTTTCATTTTCTTTAATGCCAGCTCAGTGCCAGCATAAAAACCAGGAAATGAAGTAAACAGGAAATATAGATGTGTAAAGAGTTCATGTTGAAGTGAGAAGTATGCCTGAGTTTAGTGAATCAGTACTGAAGTGAGTAAACAGGGAGGGGAATAAATTATGCCTCAGGTGCATTCCTATGCTCTGTAAGTCCAGTTCCAGCCTTCCTAACCCTGCTGCCCTTTGGTTACCTGGGTTAAGAATATTCCTGAAAGTTAAGCTAATCTAGTAATAAATAATCTGATTGAAGCAAACTGGAAAATATCCAGAATTCAGCAAATGGCAAAATCAAAATTAAAAGAGACCTTGGCAAAATTACTGCACAGGGCCTGATCCAAGGTAGAGAGAGAGGCAGGAGAAACATTTTGTGAAGAATAAAACAACAAAAACAGGGGAAGGTAAGAAAGGGTCCATCTTGACTATACCTCATGGTCAATGTCAGTTGACTTGTGTGCTAGTGCAACTGTAAGGTACATAAACCAAAATAAAGGAGCTAAGTCAGAATAAGGTATCACGTCTGTGTAGATCAGATTTGGGACTGTTCTGTTATATTCCATGTGTTATATTTTAGGAATGATCATGTATGAAAATGTCTTAGTGTGTGTCTCAGACCCTGAGACAAGGATTTGAGTGCAGGGAATTTATTCAGAAAATGGAGGAAACGCTGGTAAGGAAGGAGGAAGTAGGGAAGTGAGGTAGGGGGAGGAAGACAGCCATACCATTCTTAAGCCATCTGTTGTGATGGGTGGGTCACTGGAGTTATTCCCTTAGGAAACACTGGGAGACAGTAAAGAACATTCAGAACTATTCCACCCAGAGGGAAAGGAAACTGGGCATTTAAATGCCAGTTCGAGTATCGGTGATTGACAGTGGCTCCCAGGGATGTTCATTTCCTGGCACTTGTAGTCTGCTACATGTGTGGACTGAGCAGAGAAGTATTCAAGCACAGAAATTCAGGTGGCCTGCAAATGGAAGTTGACTAAAACACTCAAAAATCTAAAGGGATCAGCAGTATAGTGGAACACTGACACCATCTGCTAAAGAAAACCACATCCTTTAAAATACAGTTTTAAATTATATTGGGCATGTGTCTTTCGGAAGGGAAGAGTTGATATGGCCGTTTCTCATGTTTGAAGGGGCATCACACTGAAGAGGCAGACTTAACTGACGTATATATGTAAGACAGAACTACAGTCAGTACATGGAAATGACAGAATGCAATTGAACAGTTTGTGGTTCCCAGAGAGTAGCCTGTTTTGTTGAAGTACTAGAGGTCTTTCTGATCAGAAGTCGTATGATACTAAAAGGGATGTTGTGCATTGATTTGTCAGGAAAGTAGAACGCAAACTCTTAATGTTCTGTGAAAAACTTAGGTCAAAATTCTGTTTTGTTTTGGTATACTTTAAATTTAAACCCTATTCCATTTAGATTTCATTGGTGTTACAGTATTTCTGTTCCATGGTTGATTAATAAATAGGGTGGCTGTGTATTACAGATTGCTTGGGGCAGTACTGGTTTATGTCCTTGTCCTGATGTGATTAATAGTGACTACATTCTCTCTTAAAGGTTGCTCATTTGGGATGGTAAATACTGTCACCCTACTAATTTAATTTGAGGGGAAAAGAGTGCTTTTGTGAATCCCTTTTAAAAGCAAAAATAGTCATTAGAAGTACTTTGTTAAACTTTGAGTTTTCAAAATAATAGCTATCCCAACTTAATACTTATTCAGAAGAATTCAGATGTAGTATATATAACCTTCTAAGAATTTATGTAAATTCTTAATGCATGTTTTCTTTTAAATACGCAATTGTTTTCTTGTATTCTATTACACAGAAGGCAGACAGTAACGAGCACTCCTTGCTGGATTGAACTTCATCTGAACGGACCTCTACAGTGGTTGGACAAAGTATTGACTCAGATGGGATCTCCTTCAGTGCGTTGCTCAAGCATGTCATAAGGCTTTGTCACCAATCAAGTCCCATCAAAAGACTTAATGTAACAACTCTTCTGTCATAGTATTTGTGTGTGGTCCCCATGGACTGTTTACTATTCAAAAATGCAAGAGAGAAAACAGCACTTGAGGTCTCATCAATTAAAAGCACCTTGTGGAATTGGTTTCCTATATTCGAATATTAGATGGGAAAATTAGTATCTAGAGAAGATTTTAAAGACTTACTGATGTCTTGTTGGGCATAAAACTGAGTGTCCCAAAGGTTTATTAATAACAGTAGTAGCTATGTGTACAGGTAATGTATCATGATCCAGTATCACAGTATTGTGCTGTTTATATACATCTTTAGTTTGCATAAATTAGGTGTGTGTGTGCTGCTTCTTGATTTAGGCAAGCCTTTATAAAGTTACAGTACCTAATCTGTTATTCCCACTTCTCCGTTATTTTTGTGTCTTTTTAAATATATAATATATATCAAAATTTCCAGATTATCATTTAGAAGCAGATTTTCCTTGTAGAAAAACTAATTTTTCTGCCTTTTGCCAAAAATAAACTCTTGGGGGAAGAAAGTGGATTAACTTTAGAAATCTTTGACCTTATGTGTTCAGTGGGTCTTAAACATTCATTCTTTTTGTGTTTATTTACTTCTAAATCATATTATAAAGAAATGTAGCCGAAAATCTTCCCAAATCTCTTCTCCATTCCTACTTTTGCCCTGAGAACCAAAACAGCGCAGGATGACCTCCATTGCCAGTACTGGTTGCACTGATACTGCCAGGACTAGTTAGTGCTGGGGTACAGTAAGAATCATAGGGAGTAAGTTCCTTAGTCTTACACCAAATTTCAACAGGTAATAATTGACTTGTGTAACCTAGCAGTCTCTTGACTTACTTCCAGACCTCATAAAAACACAGGTGGCAGTATAATTTTTTTCAGGAATATGCTACAATTATTTCAGTATATTTATCCTTTTCTTTTTACAGCCAATCTATAGATAGAAATACTCTTTTTAAAAGGTGTTTAATTTGGTAGCAGACCTAATACACTTTAATTTGAGGTTCATTTGATTCAGCTACCAGATTGTATTGTGAAATGGACCTTTTGTAAGTGTAATTGCTTTTGCAAAATACCTAGAAGAGTGATGCTGAGGTACTATCAGCAGATAAGGGCCATCTGTTTTTAAAGTATGTTTTATTAAATTTATGAGATCTGTTATTTTACATAGTTATGAATTTAGAATTTTAAAAATTGGGGGAGAAGCAGTTTAGCAAGGTTTTTAGCTTAAAATTACTGACAATCTGAGCTATTCTTAACTAATCCTGAATATGTGGTTGAATATTATAACCAACCGTATTTTATTCTCCCCAGTGAGAGTTTCCAGAAGCTCTGTTGATAGTCCATTATGCAGCAAATAATCTTTTTGTCTATGTTAACTCATTGCAGTTTAAGCATTTGTTTGCATCTTTATGGAAACGGAAAATAACCACTCCTGACCTCCTTCAAGTAAATTTTCATATTTTTGAAGATAGATATCTTTGGTACTTGTTCTTTAAAACCGTATTCCCCCATCTCCACAGGTATTAATTTCAGTATTCTTCATATTTGGTTGTTCTCTATTAGATATTCCCCATTTTCCTGTGTATGTGTGCACATGTAAACTTGGTATAGTAATTTTTTATTCGTTCAACAAATATTTATTGTTATCCTGTTACATGTGTCAGGAACTTCCTTAGTCTTTGGGTAAAGATGAACAACACAGGGGGTATGGTCCCTGCCTTTGGGGAGACAACAGTTACTATAACCCTTACTTAACTTATTTGTCTATGAAGGAGAGAAACAGAGTACTGTGATAGGGCATAGCAGAGGGAAGGATTCTCCAAGGAAATGATGTTTGAGCTAACTAACATCCCATGAGAAAGTCCATGTGGAAAGCCAGGGAAGATGAGCATTCCTGGCAGAGAGAAGGGCATAAAATTCAAAGGCTCATTATTAAGTATAAATGCTTTATACAGGAATCTCTGTACAGATCCAAACTTGCAGATCAAAATGGTTCTACAGTTGCTTATAGTTGAGGGTGACCTTGTTTTGTTATTGACTGCTTTATATGTCATTCTCATTAATACTTCTTCAAGCCCTTGCTATAAAACATTGTCATTTGCACCAGGTTGATACCATTTGATTTAATAACCCTTTCTTAAATCTGCCTTGGCCAAATCTTCATTTGGCCATTGGTGAAATTTTCATTTCACCATTGTAGTGACTGGCTGCTTGCTTCCAGGTGTGCTGCTGCCCACTAATTACTACTTCTACTGTCCATACCAGTTGTTACCATTGTCAGGCCTGCTGGAGAAAAGCAGTGGAGCTTCTGGCTGCTAGAAGTGTTTACCTAGAAGAAAACTTGCAGTGGTATTAGAACAGCTCTGGGGGTGGAGAAGAACTTTGAAAATGGTAGAAGGCCCTGCAGTTAACTCTTGCATTGGTATGTCAAGTGAAGCAGTGCCAACTATGGCATTTCAGTAGTGAATCACATCTCTCCAGTTACCGTGAGATTGTTCTGTGCAGCATGACACTTCGGACTCAATTCCTTGGAAACATCTATGGAGCAGTTATACCTGTCCAGCAGTTGACTTCATGGTGGTGCTTACATCTGTGTATATTTAATGATCTCATATATTTTTTAATGAGATGTTCTTGCATTCTATTTTGTCTACTGTGGCTTAATTTTTGTTGATTTTTTAAAAATAGAGGCTGTTTTCGTTCTGTTAAATGATCTCCCTGTGGAGTTTTGTGTTTATTTAAATTAGCAACATTATTTAGAATTTCTCCTCTACAGTCTGGTCATTTCCTCAGTGTGACAACAGGAGAACTGAGTGGTCATGCTTTCTCTCATATTTCTAAGATGAATGGTGGTTCTCACAGTGGATTCCATAGACACCCTTTAGGGCTGGCTTAGGGAACTGGAGGCTGGTGACATTCCCACTGACTTTGGTCTAACCAGTGGCAGCTTCATTTTTATTCTGTATTGAAGTTCTACATAGATTTTATTTTTTTTAAAGAAGAGTTTTATTGTTTAAAAAAAGTTTGGGAAGTCTTTATAGCCACTTGTTAAGATTGGAAAACATAACCAGAATTTGGCCCACCTTTTGGAATAACTCTGCCAGTGTCTTTTCATTCTGCTTTAAGAAACCTTCCTGATGAGGTTTGAACTACACCAGTTATACTAATTCTACATTATGATATACATTCAGTCAATAAATACTTATTGAAGCCTGTTCTGTACCCAGCCACTGCGACAGATGATGACTGGAGTTTAATCCTGACCCTCCAGCTGTGCTTAGTCTTAGGAGGATTACACGCTCTCTCAGGACCTGTCACTTTGCCCAAAGTAAATCTGCCTGATTATTCTTGAAAGCTAAATAGTCTTATTCTGTATTCCAAGCATATATTTGCAAAATGTTTCATACTGAGTTTTTTTAAAAATCTTAAACCATACCCAGTTTTGCCTAGTTCATCTGTTTTAAACATTGTTGGATTTTCTCTTTCGTTAAAATTATTTTAATTTTACTTTATTTGTGCTTTTTAGGTCAGTTTCAGTCAAGACTAAGACTTTGAAGGTAAAGAATGATCCATCTAGTCTCGCTAGCAGAAATCAAATAAAAGAGTATATGTATCCAGTTGGTTTCTCTACCTCTTCCCAGAACTGTCCAAATATACCTTTAAGACGTTTCTGTCTTTTTTAAATAACTACATACCTTGAGCATTTATTCAGTAAGCAGAATCCTCCTGGTCTGGTTGATTGTCGGATATAAAGTGACTAAAGATAATCTTCACTGTACTTAAATTTGTCTTATGTACAGTCTTGCTTTCATAGCTGAACATTCCAATTTCGGTTTGCCCCCCACAGCCGCACGCTACCCTTCCAGTATCTCTTTAGATAACTAAGTAGTCTGTGGACATAAGCAACACACTATCTTTTCTCTTACTCTGGTCTAAAACATTGATGATTAGACATGACAGATTCTTGGCTATTGTCTTTCCTTCTTGAGCTTTACTTTACTGAATCCTTTATAGTCATCAGCTGAACTTTATTCTTTCTCCCCTTCTCTAACAACATGTATCCCTCATGGTTTTGCTGGTTACCCTCTTGCCAGCCGTGTTTTATCTGCATACACGAGAATGTCTCCTTTAAATTTCACTGAAAACCAAAAGAGATGGTGCTGTTCATATGCAGGGTCTTAATTTCTTCACCATGGAGGTTAATGTTGTTCAAATTGGTCAACACTTAAATCTTACAAACGGCTCATAAATTTTCTCTAGTTCAATGTCTGTGTGGCTAGCAAATAGCTTAAATCATTAGATCTATTTTAAAGTATGTTTAGGATCATAAACTTTTCTGACAGTTGCAGCCAGTTACTTCCCTATAGCACTAGCCCTCTTTCCACCTTGGAGCATATTGAATTGTATTTAGTACAATCAAGAGTAATGATGATAGCGTGTGATCTCTAGAGGTAGTCAGAATCCTACTGAGATCCTTTTATATCTTTTCAAGTTTTTATGAATATTTTGTTCAGACTACCTTTCTGGGGGGGGGGGGGTTGAGGGACAGATTAGCTCTTGGAGTGTAATTCCTGTGTTTGGAGCCTCAACCAGAAAATGTCAACTAGATATGACTGCCTCATGATGGCCTTTATGATAAGAACTTTTGTAATGTGTTCACATAATTTCTTGAGTAGGAACTGTTTTATCTTGGATATTATAGCTAACTTTATAGCATAACTGCCTTAAATCTTTTTAGTAGGAAATAAATATATAATGTGTGTGTATGGATTTATATAAATATACACTCATAGAAAAACCTTAACAGTGGGCGTCATTTATCTGCATACATTTTAACAATGGTGAATGAGTCTGTTGTTTAAATCTCAGATCTCAGTAAAATGTCCTTAATTTGCTTGCAGACATTTTCCTTTCATGATAGACCATCAGAATAATTTTTTTACTCTGCTGGAGTCCTAATTTGGCACTTCAGTAAGTATGCTGTTTTAGGCAGTTTGACAGTTAAGAATCGTAACTGGAATTTATTAACATCATTAATAAAGCTCTGCCATGTATCCCTTCATTAAATTGTAATACATCCAGTGGTCTCTGAAAGGTACTAGGTTAGGGTTAACTTTAAAAAATATATAATGTTAGATTGCATCACACCCCCGCCAAATCCTTTCCCCCTGGCTTAAGATTGTTGCTTAAGGTACCCTGGGAAGTACTACTACCAAGTCCAGTTCTCCTGCATTTAAGCGTAGCCTAAGGCTGGTTCAGACCTGACACTCCTAGCTGTGCTCAGTAGAAATGGATTTTCCAGGCTCTCTGGGCCATCTCGGACTCAGAGGATCTGACCAGAGTACATCAGCTCAAGTAAACCGCAGTGTCAGTTGGTGGGCAGCCATCATGGCCCAAACTGTTCCCCAGCAGTTGAGCTGTAAGGAGGGCCCCTTGGAAGAATATCACTGCTGCTGTTGGGAGTGAGAAGGACTTCATTAACTCCACACAAAGGACTTTTTTCTCCCCCCAAATTTCCCCCAAGTGATGATCTCCTACCCTCCCCAAAAAAGCTCTTAGTTTCTCAAAATTTCTAGTTTGCTCTTTTTGGGGGGGGTGGGTGGGAGGACACTTCTTATTTACTACTTCTTTCTAACTAAAGATGATAATTTTTTTGAGCCATGAAGTCCATAATATATTGATTTGGGGACAAAAGTGAAGTTGTAGAATTATAAAAATATGTAACTTCTGTATTTTCCATTTCACGCTTTACTGTTTCTGTGGCTTTAAATCTTTTGGCTATTTTACAATGTTAGTCACTAGATAACTTGCCATATTTCTGGTTCTATATTAAGTTCTACCCTTTACAATGATGCTGTAGCATAAAGTTGGTTCTCAGCATTTGGCTGTAGGAATAGAAGTCTCACTAAAGTCTCTTTTCTTCCAAAGAGATTTTCCTTTTCTCAGGCCCTAAGAAGATATTGTCACTCACATTATTTATATCCTTGGATTGTTCAAACAAAAAAAAATATTGGTAAGAAAGAATAGGGTCTTTTTCTGGTGAATGTATACACCTACTTTAAGAATGTAGTCAAAAGTTGATTATGTAACTAATACACATTAAATCTGTAGAAGTAATTATTACATATGTAGCAAGTAGGTAACGGATTTTATTATTTTTTTAAATCCTATTTCTTGGTAAAATGCAGAACCCGAATTGGTCATCCTTAGACCATATTTACCTCAGGACTTTATTTTTGCTTCTTTGACATTGATCTTTAAGGCATAAATACTTGTTATCTTTTTATTAGTGATAGTGAAGCTGTGACACCATTTTTAAACAAGAAGGCACACAGAAAAGTAGAGATTAAGATGAAAGTTCTGCAGTCGCTGAGCTAGGTCACAGTATTGTAGGCAAAACAAAAATGTTCCTATCTGAGAATATTCGTTTCGCCATCTTTTCCCAAGGCCAGACCTTCTGGTAGAGCACAGTTAAAAGTAACATAATTTTGGGCCTTTGTCATCTGAGGGAAATATCTCCAGTTGGCAGTCTTTTTTTCAATATATGAGACAAGATTGTGGAAAATAGTTGGCAGAGTGTTTTCAACTAAAAAAAGAATATGAAAAGACATAAAAGCTGAATTATTCATTTTGCTCTGAAAATCTCAAAAAGATACAGTAAAATACTATATAACTGGACAAAACAAGAAGAACCTTTGAGAAGATTTGTCTGAAAACAGGTTTCAAGGATGAACTCTTATATATAGCTCACTAATTTGCTTAGATACTACCCAGCAACTATACTTAAAATTGACACCACTAAATATTTATGGACTTCTAGGAACTAGCCATTAGCAAGTATTCTAAAAATATTTTTGAGCTGATGCCTTCATAAGTAGCTTTATGCTCTTGAAAATTCTAATCATTTCTAGTGATACCAAGTGAGGAGTGTGGAGTGTTCTTAGGATAACCAAGTGCCCTGGTGTGCCTGGGACTGAGGGGTTCTCTGGAGCTAAACTCAGGATCACCCTATGTTTAGCTCTCTATGTGCTAAACCTATGTGTTCTTGTGATTTACTCCCTTAATAGTTGTAATTAAATTCAGCTGTCTATGGCTGTCAGCATTTCTGATCCTTGGATATGTGTCCTGTAAACACCACTGTGGATACAATGTAAGATTTATAACATAATAGCTAATGGCACCAACCTGGTGGTGAGACTAACACTTAGTAGTAACTGGTGGTTTAATGAATAGAGAAGGGGCAAATCAGCCAGCTAAGTTCTTCAGAACCTGTGTGTTTATATATGTACAAATAATGTCTTTATGGGGTTAAATTTCATCTGAAATTTAAATGTTTCAGTATAAAAGAAAACTGAGTAGTGGTGTGGATTTCTTCTCTCTTGAGGAAAAATATGGCCTTTGATGCTCTGTCCTCTGTCTACTACCTTCACCAGACTGTGCTGCTCAAGAAGCCAGAATATGGTATTACATGTATTCTCAGTGAATGTTGTATTGAGATTGCTAAGTGCATCAGCCAGTCGCAGGTGAAGGAATTGGATATCCTGATCCAGATCAAGCAGCGTACTCCCAGTTCTGATAGCCTCCTACCCATAGGTGCTTACCAGCTAGAACACTGGCCACAGGAGGTGAGGATTTTTTAAATGCCATTAATTTTGTAATGCAGTATGATGGGTGCAGAGTCTGTTTCCCTGTGGTAGTCCCCAGAGACTGCATCCTCTGTGCACTGTGATGTAGATCGTAGATGTGTTCTTTGTAAGCTTTAATCCTATGATTGTCAAAAGTATGATGTGGTTCTGTTTTGTTTTTTTTTTTAACAATGAGCTGAGGCTTTATCACAGCTGGTTTTCAAGTTAAAATTGTGAAATACTGATTTCCTTCCCCAAAATATTTTAGTCTATTTAAAGTACAAAAAAATAGTTCTACTTAAGAAAACTGCTTAAATGTCCTGTGATTTCTGGTCAATTTTTATATCCATTTGTGTGTGTCTTTATGTGCTTTCACTTTTTACCTTGTTTGCTCTCTGTGTTAACAGTACTTTCATCATTGAAAGGTGAACATTTTTCCTAGCATTAAAAAAAAAAGCCATTTGAGTTGTTTACCATATTATTATGGGACTAATTTTTAATTGTTTTAAATTGATTTTGATTTAAACTGATCTTTTTTAGAGGGGATTATTTTTTCTGTTCATGCCCTAAATTATATGGAAACAAAAAAATTTTGTTGTGTGTATTTCACATAGTGGAAGTGTGATATTAAGAGTGCATCTTTTTGCTTTTTAAACTTTGCGTTACATAGGAAGTTTATCCTACTCCTAGGGCAGACGGATATGCACTGCTTATTATATTCCCTCCTCCCAACATGTCACGCCCTCCACATTGCTAGTCAGTTATTCATTTTAGTTCATTTTAGAGCTTGCCAGTTGATCTAATACACATGATCTATGCTGTAAAGAAAAACAGGCTAGGTGAAATTCACATTTTCAGAATGTACTCTGAGCAAAAAGGGAAACACTTTTTTAAAAAGACTCCTTTGGAAAATAGTAGCTAAGACATAGTTTACTCACAGTTTGTTAGGTAACCTAACTTTTTATATTATCCAGAATTCCTTTGTGCCTTGACAGCTGTTCCTAAGAGGAATCGGTACTTCTCTGGTTAGCAGGCTACTCTCTTCAAACCCTTTTAAAACAGACATGCTTTAGGATGCAACAAAAGGGTTGCTAAAATACAGTACCCTACGTGGCATCAATTTTTTATTGGTAAAAAGCCTGTTTAAACAAATCCTACTTAAATATCTCCACCATTCAACTTGATAAACAATCTGAAAGGAACTTTCCAACATTGAACTACAGCATCACTTTAGTTGACAGATGACCAGAGGAAGACCTTTTCCATTGCCATTTCACCCTGGGAACATTCCTGCCTACTATTGACACTGGTTATCTGCACCAAGAGGTTTTCATAACAATGCTAGCATCCTTAATTGCATATATTCATTAAAGGGCTGAAGATTAGGCAAGAAATACACTGTATGTTTGGGCTTTCTCCACTCTTGGCAGATCTTTCTTTCCCCTTGTTTCACAATAGATCAAAAGCCCCATAATGCAGGAAGCAGGCATATTAGTATCAAACTGATGTACTCCCATATAGTTATTTTAAGCAACAGATGTTTCCAAGAACTAGGGTGAAGACCATGTTCAAGAACATATTTGCACCATCCAGTTACCCAGCTTCCTTCTTAATAGACTCTTGTACCCTTTCATCAAAACATACAAGCTGAGTCCAACCTGAAAGTGTTGTAAAGTTCACATATGTAGGAATTCAAAGGATAATGGCATACATAAAAGCTATTTTCTGCTACAATGAATAGATTAGGAAATACAGAATTAGGTTAGCTGATGGTGACTTTGTTAAAAATGTGTTATGCTAGTTTGCTCATAGGGAGACAGTAATTACATTCATAAAATCAGCCGTATCAATAGAAGGCGAGAATATTGAATCCAACTTATGGGTAACAAGTTCAGTGATAAACCAGCAACAGACTAAGCATCATCCTTTTAGGAAGCCACAAGAGAATGTACTAACTGCTCCAGTCCAAGCTATATGACATCACTGGTTATAGGATAAATGCATTTTGACATAGGAGTTTGCCATGGGTTTCACATTCTGCCTTCCATAGTTTGTTAGCTGTCTGCACCTACCTTAATGCTATATGCTAATAAGGTTGCTTAAACCATATTTAAAGTAGTTTAGGAAAAAAGATGATCGCAGAGGAAGAACGTTCTTCTGAACAATGTAATGCAGGAAGAGGATGGACAAAAACCCACGTAAGGCATGGTGTTCAAGAATGAGTTAAATCTGGATAGATGGAGAGGACTTGAAGCTGGTAAGATGAGATCTTGGAGCAGAACTCTTGGTTGTGGGTTTGAGTGTTCATGAAAGCTGGACATTACTGAACTACTGCTATGCATGGTGAGCAGCTGTTAGCCACAAGCTAGGTAGATGCTACTGTGAAGCTCACATCTAATAATAGAGCCTAGATCTCTAGGACATACAAGCCATAGATCGCTTGTACCCTGGTTTTCATAATCTGCAATGTGATTGTGCTACTGAGCACACAGCCTGGGGCAAAGAACAGGAGAATACCAGCCACAAACAGCTGAGGGTGGGCTGCTTGTTTGGGTATGGGGGGAGTTAAAATGACATGTATGTGTGTGTATTAAGTGAAACAACTTTTTGCTCACTTATAGCTGAAGAGTTAATACAGAGAACCCTCTGAAGTTTGTTGCAGAATTTTGTGTATACGTAGATTTTTCTGATGAGAAGTAGCAATCATCAGAGGCCTTAAGAGTGATTCTCTATTGAGACCATTTTATCTTGAACTTAAGCTAGAAGTTACTGATTGTAAATTATGTTAAAGTTTTTCCATGAAAGATCTTATCTCTACACTATATTTTTAAAAAATAAATGACATGTAAATAAGATTTTAATACGAATGATGACCCACTTTTAAATGGTTGTTTACAATTTGTAAGTATGCTTGGGCTGCAATTGGAAAAATGATTTAAATAAGTCTAGCTTAACGTCTGGAATAAAAGCATTCTAGGTTGCCTTTTTACATTGAAAATATTTTTTTATTGTGGGAAAAAAACAGATTACTGTCTTTGTTTTACCCAAGAACCATAGGCTACATGGTTCCAACTTTTAAATCAAGATCTCGAATAATAGCATGTGTTATCACCACATTTTAAAAATGTAGTTAGTCAATCACAAACACATTTTGTAAGGAATTGGATTTTATAGAGATAATTGAGTGCTTTCATCTGTAACAGAATTAGTGGCCTGCAAACCACTGTGGTTTCTTACTGTGCTCTGAAATTGTTAAAGGGGAATTTTTTGCTGTAAGTTGCATGCATAAAGTGTGAGGCAAAGGAAAATACAGTTTTTAAATTTTAAAATGACAACCACTGACAAAATGTTACACTCTGAAAGTCTGACTACTTTTTAACTAG